TTAGTGTTTTTCTCTATTATTTGCAGAAATGACACTTTCCACATTGGGATTTAATAAATACAAACACACACACACACACACACACACACACACACACACACACACACACACACACCTTTAGGCTGTTCTCTTTTTCAATTGTACTTTGCTACACTGGCTCTAAAATAATTACCCAGAAGAAAAAGTGATGGTATCTGTTGCCAGGATCCTTTTGTACAAATGGTGTTTGGCATTTCCCATTAGTTTCTTAGTGCTTCATAAATCAACTCACTGCTTTAAAACATGACTTTGCAATGATAACAGGATAATTTTAGATGTCCAAACACTTTAGTTGAATCTTAGTGTGCAAAACTCTGTGATGGCATCATTTAAGAACTCCCCCACCCCACCACTGTGTAGATGAAGGGCTGAAGGATTATTGTAGTTTTTGGTCACTTCAAGGCAGGTAGATATTTTTGTTGTCGTTGCCGCTTATGCTTGTGATGTGTCATTTAGACAACGATTTAGGATAAAATCTATCTCCGTCATTAGGAGCATTTGTTTCTTCATGTGAAAAAAAGTAGAAAACCAGCAGCATCATAAAGACTGCTGCTGCTGCCAGTGCTAAGAAGATGGGGAAAGGACCACCCCACACATCTCGCATCCGTCTACTCAGTGAAATGAGCCTAGTGTGTTGCAGACATGAGCTTCCTGTCAGCTGGGATTCAGCCAGATGGTGTGGAACGAGAAATCTAGGCATTTTTATTTGCAGCTTAATGAGAAGTTTGTCGTTTTGAGTTGTCAGACTGCACAAGCTCTTGGGAGTTTTGAACGGGGATCCGTATTTCATGGCGGAGTCCAACATATATGGATTTGAATCCTTGCTCAATGACTTAGGATCTAAGTGGCCCCATCCAAGCCTGTTTATCTCTCTAAGCATTAGCTTTCACATGTGTGAAACAGAGAGAGGAACAAAATAAAGAATGGAAGTAAAGATGAATGAATATAATAAGAAACATACGTAAATAAATCCATTGTTTTAGTTATAGTTGAGTGGGAATAAGCAGTAGAATGTCAGAAGGAATAACCTGGAGAAGATAATGCCTCTTGGCTATAGTAGCCTAACTCTTGGGCTCAGAGTAATTGTTTCAATTCTTCTCTGGGTAACCACACCCACCTGTTCAGTTTTTAGGACAACGACACACAATTTGAATAGTATGCTCTTTCAATAGTATGGCAAAAAGACTAGTAGTCATGCCTCATAAAGAATGATTCAGTTATCGTTTTGGAAACTTTTATTCTGAAAAAGAGATGAGCGAATCAATGTAGGCACATTGTATTCATAGTTGCTGATCTCTCACATATGCATATCTTTCCTGATGAAAAGAGAGAAGTCAAGAGCCAAGGAGCTGAGTGGTTGAGGGTACAGGTTTAATCTTGGTTTCTGTCTTTTGTCAGCTAATGCCCTTGGGTATGTAACTTCACCTTTCTAGGTATCCTTCTACTCTTTAATGTAGTGTAATAATGCCCGGCTCTCACAGCAGCTGGGAGAACTGAATGGTACATATGTAGAATGAACAGTACAGTGCATGGTGCCCAGTAAGTACTCAATACATGCTAACTATTGTCATGTTAATGGTTTCTGTTGGCCCACTTGGGCTTCAGGGGACCCATCAAGTCCTGAACTTTTACACAGCCCTGTGTATCCACAAAAGAGGGCATTCAGAGAAATCGGCTTAGGACTTGTAGGAATATTCACAAGTAAGGTAAGCTTGGACAAGTGGATTTCCTGGACCAGATTTCAAGGGCCAGAATAGACAACACTGTTACAGGCTAGGAGGCACTGCACCACCCATTTCACCTGGGCGCATGTACGCTGGGCTTCCTAACGTGTGTTCTCACATTGGAGTTAGGTAATAGAGGGATTGAAGACCTGGGTTGAAGTCCCAAAACTGTAGGGCCTCTCCCTCCACTTGCTAAAACAATGGGTTTCAAAGTCTGGTTCTTGGATAGAAGCATCAGCTGTGGTTTTCTTGTTACTCATGCAGACTCAAGCCCCACCCCTGACCTACTGAATCAGAGATTGGGGTTGTGTGGCCCCGCACACTGAGCACGCCCTCCAGCTGGTTCTGACGCGTGCTAAAGTTTGTGATCCACTGACCTAGGACTGTAACAGCTTTGCCCGGTGCGCTCAGTTGATGTCAGGCTTCAGCTTTTACACCTTTGTTCCAGAAAATCTGCCATATAAACATAGCTAACATATATGTATGTTGAGGGCTTCCTCTGTGCAACTTGCTAAACTAACCACTTACCATGAAAATATATTTGACCCTCACAACAGCTTTAAAAAGAGAGGGCACTAGCTTATCGCCTTGATGTATAGAGGAGTAAACTGAGGCACAGAGTGGTGCTCCCACTTTCCCAGCGTTCCGCAGAGAGAAGCTGGTGCAGTGAGGATCTGAATCCAGGCATCTTACCCACTGCACCCAGTGACCACTTCACAGTAACCTTCACCTTCCCCAAACCAGAGCACGCTGGCATCACAATGAAAGGTGACGAACTGGGCAGTGGTTTCCCAGCTTTTCCTCTGCTTGCTGCCCTCTGGACACTCCTCTCTTCCCACAATCCTCCCGCATCTGACGCTTTCTCTCCTTCCTTCACTAAGTCTTTCTCCTCGTAAATGATGTGCATTCATATTTGGCATCACGTGAGGGCTCCCCCAAAATTCAGGCTCTGTTTTTCTCTTTTCACATGTCTATGGGAAATTCCACACACACAGTTTCAACATTTCCTCCTTTCACACAACCCCCAAAATCTGTGTTTGCCTTGAACTGTCTTCCTAATTCTAGTTCCAAATCCCCAGCAACCTGGACTTCCTGCATTTCAACATTTACTTTTTTCAGACAACCCCTAAATCTGTGTTTGCCTTGAACTGTCTTCCTAATTCTAGTTCCAAATCCCCAGCAGCCTGGACTTCCTGCATGGCTGTCTTTCCAGCATTTGTACTGCATCACCTGCAGCTGACTTATGTCTCCCAGCAAACTCCCGCCCTCTCCAGAGCCCACTTCCCTCGTTCTCCGCGTGGGGCCTCCATTCCCCTGGCTTTCAAGGCCTTGCTTTCCTTCACGTACTGGACCCCGTCTTTCTTTAGAGGGGGCATGAATGGCTTTATGTATTTGGGGTTTCCCATCTTACAAAGGTCACTATTTAGGCCTGACAGAAAATTTAAGTTTGTAGTCAGGCCCCTCCATTTAATTACCAAAACAGCGTAAAATCAGTGTGCAAGATGAGGTGTGGGATAGGTTAGCTTCAACTGCAAAACAACATTATTAAATATTGTACAGGAGTGATTTTTAAAAAGCAGCAAGCAAATGGGCAACATAAAAGCCCATGCGTCTAAGAGGCATGTTCAGGGAGACACCAGGGAAAACATAATTTTGATTTTTCATTAATGACTAATTCCATTGAACAATGAATTGGACATTATAGCATTTAGAAACAAAGCATAATTACAAGGTGTCATTCTAATTGTTAATTAGGTCTATTTGTACTCTAGATTAGTTTTTTTAAATATGTCCTCTAGATGCTACTTGATGCTAATTATCTGAGTTACATTATTTCAATTGAAAAACATTTTTAATTAAGTCTAAAGCCATTTAAATTAGCATAAGATTTATAGAAATTTAAATGTNTCTGAAAACCAATCCACTTACATTCAAGTCCAATGCAGTCTTGTTAGATGTATACACTCTATGAAGAGTTCTTTGTAATTGAATGCAATGAGCCTCCCCTCCCCTCCCTCCCTCCCTCCCTCCTTCCCTCCTTTATAGGTCCAAAAGCTGTTGAAGCTTATGGCCAAAAGTTTGAAGTAAAGACAGTTTCTGGAAAATTGCTCTTCTCTGCGGATAACAATGAAGTCGTAGTAGGAGCCGAGAGATTACGAGTTTTAGGTAAGGAAACTTTAATCATTTAATTGGTCTGATGCTACTATGTACATTTGAGAGGAAAAGTGAAATGGTTTCTGGAAGAGTGATTTAGGCCCATTACCTGGATTCTCTTAGAACGAGTCGGTGGAACCCTTCACCCCAGGGCCTGGGCCCTGGTGAAAATTTCTGAAGTCATGAGGTGTTTGTGGCACATCTGCCATCCCTGAGCTTTGAGTGGGATGTGTGCTCATGACAAGAAATATAAGAAAGCAAGTCCTGTCCTCACACTGGCAGTCTTGTGAGAAGCAGTTGATACCTATATACTTGCTATCATGATGACTAAACCTGGTTTTAAATTAAGAATCACCTTTGTGCCACGTGACTGGTGACTTCACTGGAAATCTGCACAATTCAGTTTTAGCTCTGGATTACTTCAGTTGACCTTTGTGAAGGTTTTGTCTGGGTAGAGTAATTGTTTGACTTGTTTTAACCTGTTAGGGTTTGGGGTTTGTTTGGGATTTTGGTTTTTTTTCACTCTATATTAAAGTAAAATTCTAAAAGAAAACAGGTATGTGTTAATTCTAAGAAGGTCAACTTTGGTTTGGCTTTCTTTAGTCAGGCTTTCTGAACATTGATATGTTAGATGATAAATCCTGAAGGGGGAGTCCTTCAATTCTAAAATCTTTACTGAAAGCCTCTTACTTGAACCCAAAGTGCCCACACTACCTCCTTTGTAAAAGTTCAGGAAAAACATATTACCGGCTCGGATTTTTCTTAATAAGGAAGGAAGGATCATTTGCCTACCTTATAATAACATGACTCAGTGCTTAATCTTTATAACTGGATTTTAAAGATTGGACAGTATAAACAAGAATAAGGAATGAGCCACCTTTTATGGGCGGCTTGTAGTTTTATAGTTCTTAATCTATACTTAACATTTTATGTATCTTTCTTTTGGAAAAAACTACAAGCCACCACATGCATCATCTCTACCTCTGTGTTTATGTATTCATTTATTACTAGCCCTCAAACACAATCTTCTTTTTCTCCTTCCGTCCCCTCTTTGCTGGTAGGATGTGCTGTATGTCGTCATGCACTTTGCATTAACATATTAGAAATCTGCAAATCTGTTTTGTCCTTTTTGTACTGTTGGATACTTATAATGCCAATTTTACCAGGTTACTAAATAAATTTGGTCTTATTAGAAGAAAACAAAAGAAAGAATCATCTAGGGAACTTCTGAAAAGTTTATGTTCATAGATCCAACCGTGACTTACTGCATTAGAAGCTCTGGCAGAAGGGCCCAAGAATTTGTGTGTAAAAACATTGGCAGGAATTTCTGTGGTCCCACTGCTGCAGTCATTGAGTCTGAGAACACAGCAAATTTGTTTCTCTGGCTGTACCCTGGAACAGCCTAGCATGGTGGTTTAAGAGTTGCGGTGCCGGAGCTGACATAGCTCTGAATCCCTGCTTTGCACCTCTTAGCCGTGTGACTTTAGACCCGTTACTGACATCACTGAACCAGCTTTCTTTTCTGCTCAGTTGGACTAAGAGCATCTGCCATCTCGAGTTGTTTGTAAGTTTAATGTTATACCAGGGGTGCCAAAAAACGTACACACATAACTTGTATTCATCTTTTGTTATCAGTATATAGTATTACAATTTTAATACAGTTATTTTCCTTTCTTAAAATGTGTATACATTTTTTGGTACCCTCTGTATGTACATATCACAGTGCCTAGCACGAAATAGTACTCTGTCAGTGGTAGCTGCTGCTGCTGTTACTACTCATGCTACTGCTGCTGCTCAGAATGCTAACACGGCTTTTCCTTCTATGGCTCCCTAAGAGTCACTGAAACGTATGGTTAAAACTCAGAAATTAACCCATTATGATTTTAACCCATCTGTATCCTTTGCTGTCTGTGTGTCCTTGAGCGAGTTATCTAACCTCTCTGCCTGTGTTTTTTTCTCTATTAAATGGGAGTCATAGAAGTGTCAACCTTCCAAAATTCTTGGAAAGATTGAATGAAATAATCTATGGAAACTGCTTAGTAGGTTGGCTAACAAATAGTACATGTTCACTAAGTGCTAGCTGGAAATTACTCTTTGTTTTCTGTATTAATAGTTTGACCAGGCATCTTCTTTCTTTTTCACTGCTGTCCTGGTCCTGGTCAGCACCTTCACCCTCAGTTAATCAACTTGCCTGCAAGTGCGTACATTCCCCCGACCCCTTCCTCCTTCCAGCCCCTACCCCATCATCCCACTCTCTACTCTCCCACCAGTATTTTCCCTGCCTCCTCTATTGTTCTTACTGGCCTCATTATGCTCACCTATTTCAGTTTCAAAATTCAGCATCATCCTGACCAGCATCAGGCTAAGCAGAGTCACGTGATGAAAGTGACCAACCTGAGGTGGCTCAGCGGAAGTGAGGGTGCAGAGGCAGAGAGCTAGGGGTGTTTGATCCCTAGTCAGGGGCTCCCCTGTGCCGTGATCTGAAACAAGAAACATGCTTTGTCTGTCAGGCCTTGCTGTTTCCTATCTAGAACATCAGAGTTGCCTAGAGCAGACGTTGTCAAACAATGTTTTTTTAATTCAGAAAAAAAAAACTTTTAAAAATAAAAAATGTATACCCAATCCCAATAAATAAAACATGTAAAAGACCAGGACTGCTCTGGGTTTGGAGGGACAGAGCCATAGCTGTGTAGCGTCATTCTTTGCCCCTCTGTGTCCTTTGGAGAGCTCTTAGTGCTTATTTTTAAAACCCTTGAGTGGATAGTCTTTAAAAAAATAGTCTACTGACCACTTGCTGAGATTCCGATACCATGCTTTATATGCATTTTTGTACAGAGGGTGCCAAAAATAATGTAGATACATTTTAAGAAAGGAAAAAACTGTATTTAAAGTATAACACTCAATATATGCCCGATAACAAAAGATGAATACAAGTCATGTGTAAACATTTTTTTTGGCACCCTTGGTATTTACACATCACCGATATGTTATAAGGTAGGCACCATTTTTAGCATCTGCATTTTACAGATGACAGACCTGAGCCACAGTAAAGAGTGAGAGCTAGAATTCCCAGCCAGGTATTTTGAATGCAAACTGCTTTACTTGAAAGCACTATACAGGTCAGACAATTAAGCTTGCGAATTTTCCGCCATGCGTCATATGTTGCTGCCTCCTTAAATTTGTCCCATTTTCAGATGAGTAAACTAAGGCTTGAAAAAGTAAAGAAACTTGCCCAAGATCAGGTGCCAGTTAGTGGTAGGACCGAGGTTCAAATCCTTGCCTATGGACTCCAGCTTCAGTGCACTTATCTGCATATAAATATATTAGGTCTGAGACCCTTTCCAACTCTCACAATTAGTGTTTTTCTCTATTATTTGCAGAAATGACACTTTCCACATTGGGATTTAATAAATACAAACACACACACACACACACACACACACACACACTTACATACTACCACATTGAATGGATGTTATAAGGAATATGCTTTTTCAATTGTACTTTGCTACACTGGCTCTAA